TAAAAGTTTGGGCGGGTAAAATTATTATCACGGGAACCACGGAAGCTAGAAGGCTGAAATTTTGTGGGCGTGTCCCCTGCTCACACGCGACCCAGAAAATTTAAATTCAGCTTTTTCTTACTCGCGGGTAATATGAACGGCTTCGCGAAAGTTTTTGCGGGTAAATTATTATCTCGGGAACCACAGTATACACGAAGCTGAAATTTTAGTGTGATGACCCCCTGCCCACGCTTGACCTTGCCCATTCAAATTCAGCGTTCTCGCGCTTTCGGATGTCGCCAACGGCCCCGCGGAAATTTCGGCGGGGAAATTATTATCTCGGGAACCATAAGAGCCAGGAAGCTAAATTTAATGGTAAAGTCTTCCGTCCACATACAATCCTGCAATTTTAAGTTCATCTCCCCGCGCATCCGAGCATCACTTACGGCCCCGTGAAAGTTTCGGTGGGGAAAATTATTATCTTGGGGACCGCGGAAGTTGAGGATCTGAAATTTGGGGGTGATCCCCTCTACGACCTCACAAATCTGGATTCAGCTTTCACGGGCCCCTGAGTACCATTTACAGCCCCGTAAAAGTTTTGGTAAAGAAATTATCTCGTTTGCGTGAAATTTTTAGTAGGAAATTCCGCAACTTAAGAACCAAACATTTTAACTATTTTTGCACAGACCAAAGTGCAAAGCAATTAAAATCATTAGTAGGCAATCTTTCGATGACGGAATTGCACAAAATGCATGATCGCACCGGCTGCCCTGATGCGCGCCGCTATTTATTTTTCTTGTTGAGGTGTAATGTTTTAAGCCCGTTGAATGGTTCTCCCGTGAACTTTGTGTTGACAGCATAGAAAAAAACATCAATTACATGACATCAAAAAGCGTTTGTCCCTAACTGTTCAGCAGCTATATAGTGCATCGTGCGCCTACTTCACCGTTACACTGCAGCGTGTCACTTTCCACACCTAAGATTTCTTTTTCTTCAGGTTTCGATCCAATCTCGGAGTCTGCGAAAGGCTTGGCAAATTTGCTAGAGGAAGAAAAGATGGGGATGATGCACTATGCATCAGATAAGTAAGATGCTGCAATTTTGCTGATTTGCTGTTTCATGCTTTTTGAGTAGCATCCGCTTATCTGCATGATTCACCTATTTAATCAAGATTGGCAAACTACCCGCCTAATCTACATAAAAACTCGATGTTAGTCCTCGGCTGATCTGATACCCAAGAATCTGTTCAATGTATTGTATTACTGTATTGGGAGCCGTTTACTTGTACGTGTCGGTCATTGGTGAGAGACGTCCGCTAATTGTCAGCAAAGTAAATAATGTTCCCAGTCCATCGGATTTTGTTTTCTGACTTGGCCCTATAAGATCTTGCATGCTGCTTGTCTAACGAGAAGTTTGACTGCTCATACAGCCAAGATTGTTCAAGCCGCTTTCACTCCGTTGATCTTCTGATTTCTTCAGTGACCAATTTCTCATTCGTTTCCCATGTTTTTTTAATGCAGTGGATTTAAAGATGTGTGCGTGGTTCTCGCGATTCGGTATTTTGAAAACACTAGTGATGCTATGAAATCTACAACAGCGGCTGCTGGTCATTAAGCATTCTTTAGCCGAAGATTGTGATGCATAGGCAGACCGGGGATAGACGAAACCGTCGCTTCTTTCAAGTCAGCTTTGTCTCCCTGCAACTTGCATGGGAAAATGCCAGTACTTTGCATCGTTTTGGTTTTCGACGTGTTGTCTTTCAGGCCAAGCTGCTTACTTCGCGCGTTATGTTCCTGCAGCACTGCTCGCTTTTAATAGTTATGCCATCTGTAAAGCCTAAATGATTTAGAGATGTCCGCCATTGATGTTTCACACCATCTAATTAAGGAGCGTGGGCGATATGCTGCTTTCGATTCGTGCACGTGCCGAAGTAGAAAAATCTATTATCCAAATCCAGTTTGCTTCCTAGCGATTACTGCATAGTATTTCTCTGCGCATCCTTCCACACAAGTTCATTGTATAGCATATAACCTCAACGCTTTTCAGTGCCTTTCCACAACATGTGCGTTCCAGCAGTTGCTTAGTTCTGAAATGCAGCCCATTTTGCTGTATTAATTCAGAGTGCTACTTACTTCCTTGACTAATGTTCATTATGAAGTCTTGTTAGTTGGGTAATCATGTTGAACAGTTTATAGATATGAGGAAGTAGGGATTTTCCAGATGCTCCCTACTACCGCCCTCGCACAGCGAAAATAGCTGCGATCCTCTCTGTCTGCTGGGCGTCCTGAAAGAAATCAAGCAGCGATTACACCGACGGCAAAAGCCCTCAGATTTGATGTCCTGATGAGTTGGACATTGACGCCACCGTTCTGGAGAGTCACTTTTACTTTTCATTTGGAAGGTTGCATAACTTACCTTGTTGATAAACGCAAGAAGGAATTTGCTGGGGTAGGTTCAAAGCACTGGAATATCGACATATGATGCGTACAAATTCGTGTAGACAAATTTATACATACTCTGCACGTTTGGTCGACCCATGTTCCAACGTTCATTTCCATTTTTAAAAAGGCGCGGAAAGGAACTAATGTTACACCACTGCTGTTGAGTGGTGAAACACTAGCTCCTTTCTGCGCCTTTTTAGGCTTTTTTAATGTCATCGCTACTGTTCTCCAGCGATTGCAGCTGTCGACTTCTTTCAACTTCCATATGATGAGAGTACTCCATGTTCCAAGTCTTATTCTTTGCGGTACTTTTGTAATTAAAGAGACTGCCAAAATTCATCGTTTACGTTGACGCAGTTAGCTGGTTTTGCACACTGATGAGCTCAAGAGGCATTTACAGTTCTGGTCGATTTCCACCGTCGTGTTCTAGTTTGATTCTCTGATTTGGCACTCCATCTATTCATCGATCTCTTTTATTCCGATTTAATACGTGTAACACTTTTTTTTTAACAGGCGAGATAAGTATGTAATATATGTAATCTAACACGCAACAAGCAGTGACTGGTTTTTGTTTTGAGGGACAGCAGTGTAAAGTCGTCCCTGAGAATGCGTTAAGCACCGATTAAAATAGTCAGTTTCGCTCTTCACTTGTGTGTTTGACATAAGCCAAGTCCTTTTTGGTTCTGTATTTTCTACTGAATAATTATCTCTCTGGTGTTAACAGTTGGTGTAAGTCGGATACTTTTCCTAAAAAGGCAATTTGCAGCAGTTATATTCTTAATCCATTTGACGTTTTCTCTCTTGTTCAGTCATGCAAATCGAGGACACATTACCTCGTATGTTTGTGTGTGTTGGAGGTGGCGAAATCAAGCGAACTTTTTGGCGTATCACGAGTATTACTCAGCATCAAGATCAGTGTAGTGTGTACTTGTAGTCCACACCGTGCAGTGATAGAGGGCACAGTGGAGGTATGACTTAAAGCGCGCAGTGCATGTATGAAAGTCCCGATAGTTTTCGTTTTAGTCTTTTTCCAGTGCAATCCAAATTCACCTCGTTTAGCTTTTTGGAGCTGTTGTTGCGGACAAGTACTTCCACTGTTCTGTGTCGTTTATTCGCCGGTGTGATGCTGTGCCTTTGGCTTTCTGTCTTTCGTTATTCGCTCTTCCTAACAAAGAGATATTCGGCGTCTCTTCTCATCTTTTTCCACGCCGCTGATAAGTATTGATAAACCGTTCGAGCAGCAACTAGAAGTAACATTTGTACTCCTGTGCACATGTACATTTTTGAAGATTATAAGTGACACTGTTTCAGCAAAAGCGAGACTGCATCCTCAGTAACATTGTCACTGATGTCACTGGGTCTACAGTGTGGTTGGCCGCCATCGGATATTCCAAATGGCGCAGCTTCTCCGTCGACGAAAAATTCAGCTGAAACGGACATTACTGTGGCTGCTGCCGCTGACTTTTCGGCACCGGATACGAACAATTATCCGTACACGAATGCGGACTATTTCCCCCAACCGATTGTCCATCCTTCATCTCCACCGGCACCAGCCCAAGTGTACACTCAGCAGCCCTCTTCAGCATTCCGTACTAACCAGTATTCACCACAGCAGTATTTTGTCCCATCCGCTGTCCCTCCTCCTCCTCCGCCGCCACTTTCTAAACCACAAATGGCTCGCGTTAACAGCTTCCCAAGTCCTCGCATCACTATGTGCTATAATTCAGGACAGCAGCGAGCACCATATGTTAATACACAGTTTGTGCCAAACCTTCCTCCAGCAGCCGCGGCACCGACGCAGGTTGACAGTTCGCGGTTACGTGAATGGCAAGAAGGCTTTAGAGCGCTGCTTCCAAACGTCAATGTTCGTTTCGCCCCCAACCTAACACTTCCAGGTATGTAATGACTTTTGGATTTGTTAGTTCAGTTATTTGCATAAAATGAAACAGAATGCCTCGCTTGAACACCGCTATAGCTAGTCTTGGACGGCACCAGGAGATAAGCAGCCAGCCAAAGATGGGATGAAGCGTCAATTAATTGCTGATGTGACAAGCAGAGCACCAAAAAATTTGTACAGATTAGGCATACTCCACCTGTTATGAGATGGACGTGCACGCTATCCGCTTACACGTCGAAGTGGCATAAGTTGCCGGTTTTTCGTGTCTGTACTGGTTCTGGTTCTTCTGAACGTTGGAAAGAACGAAAGGAAAACGTAGCCTACTTCAGTTTCCATTTACAAGCAGCTGTTGAGCAAGCAAGCGCGGAATGAAGCAGACCGTGTGCTTCGATTCGCGGATATCGCTTTGATCAGTTCGTAGTAGCGGAGTTCATCAGGCGCAGGTATAGGGCTTCTGATGTCTCTAGCATTCGTTTGTGGGGAAGTTAGCTGGACACTGCTTGAAATTTGGCGCATACTGTCAGACGCTAACAAACTTCCTTGCATTCATTCTTTGTTTTTGATTTTCAATTGCTTGGAATATGCGTTTGCTATTCATTGTTTCAGGCTACGCATCGTCAAATCTGACACCCTCAATGGAGTTGTCGCATCCAAACCAGTTCCCGTCAGCTTTAACTTATGATCAGGCAGTACCCATACCAGCTCAACACGCAAGTCCCATGAACATATCGGCACCAATGGCAATTCCACCACCGCTACCATCTGCAAATTCATTTTCGCATCCAGCGCCACCACCGTGGATGATGCCGCCGCCTGGTTTCTCTTATGTCTCTAAGAGATGAGGATATCTTTCGGTCATCTGGGTTGTGTAGCTCTTGTACTCGTCACTTGTTTCCCGAAGGATCTGTCCGCTTACTAAAATCTTTCCAACATCCCGAAATCTTGTACCATACCGCTGCGAAAACGACTCAGTGCAGTTACTACCACACACACACACCTTTCAGCGTTAAGTTCACAGAAAAAGGCGCTGTTTAAGTTCACAGAGCTTTTGTTGAATGTGTACTTGTCATCGCTTTGGGAATTCGCTTCAATTTAGTGATTTTGGTTTCTGTTTGTGTGGGGCCCTCGTATTAAGTAGCTAGTTTAAACTGATTTCGGGAAGCATATAATCGCTTTACCCCTACTGCTTGTGAACGTAATACTGGTTTGTCTTATCATTAATACTCACTGTATTTGTCAGAGACAGCGAGGAGCGTCTCACAGAGGCTGCAACAAACTGTGATAAAAATTCTGTGCTGTAATTTGATGGTAATCTGCGCAAGTATCTGTATTATGTGCATGCTGTGGTATTACTGTGTCCCCGGTTGTAATGTTCATGTAATAAAAGCAGGCTGAATTCATCCAGAGCACAATGCAACAACTGCCTCGTTCAAGTAAGCTTTCACTTCAAGCAACAGAAGTGGAGGTACACTGCAACAAGCTTGTTCCACAAAACCAGACAGCGGTCATCGCGTCAAGCACCAGTTTATCAAATGAGGGCTTTCCGATAAGGGACGCACCGTCATGTAGATAAGTTGCAAGTCAGATTCGCCATGCAGAAACATCATATGTACTTGTATGCGAGTTCTTTTTCATCGGGCAGAAACTGCATTTCCAGTTTAACGGGTTGCTTCAGAAGAATTGAGAGGAATTCCTCGGCGAAACCAAACATCCAGTACACTTCGCGTATGTTCAACCTATTCTTGTAATGAAGGAAGCCAGCTACTCGAACGCAGTTGCCTTGCCGCTTGATAATCAGCTGCAACCGTTTCATGATTGCTGAAGGAATCCTGGCATATGCTTTACTGGGTTGCGCTGACGGCACTACACACTGCTCCTGGGGCGTCCCAAAGCAGGCCACAAAAGTAAAAAAAAAAAAAAAAAGCAGAACCTCGCTTCCGTCGATGGTGATGTAATCTGGAAAAAAACCACGAACGAAACGACGAATTATTTCATCTTGTGCAATCTGAAACAGGCCAGTTTCGTCCGTCACAAAAACCGCACATTTCAGCATGCATCATGTCTCACTCGGAGTTTTATTTTGGGTTTTCTTGCTTTCTAATGAACAGAGTCTGCCTAAATCCGAATTCAGGCAACAATCGAAGAATGGTTGCAAGAAAACCAATTCGTACCGTGCAACAGAAGTCTAAGTTTGCAGCTTCCCTCAAAGTTAGGTTATGGAAAACCCAACTGCAAAAGGAGCGCTAATTCCTATCGTTCGTCCGATGTAAAATGACCAAATGGGAACAGAGTTTGCAACTAACTTTTCGATTTATATTAAAACAGAGCTAAAACTAAATTCTAAAAGTTCAGGCATGAGGGTCCGTCAGCTGAATTATGAGTTGCTTGCACGTGGACGAAAATAATGCTCTAAAAATTTTGAATCCCTGCTTACGGTATCATTATGTTCACATACCTGAAAATAAGCAAACATAGATGCGAATCGGATCTCCCTATAGCCTCTATGAATATGTGCAGTAAAAGAAACCAGAGAATGTCGTGAGGGCACTATCCAAATGAGTTTTAGCAACTAAAATAAACGAAGATTTTACAAAGTATTATTCATGCGGCCACAAAAATATACCACAACAGGCTGACGTTGTCTAAATTCTTCGAGATTTTGAGAATGCCAGGTCAACCAAGCCTTTTTGATACCGATGTGATCGGGCCGATGAGCCATTTCATATGTGAGCATTAATGTCCTGCCGACTGTTTTCTAAAATAAGATTGCTCTTTCTCAATATAATTTTTGGATAATCTGCATTTTAAGTTAAAATACTAGAAGAAAAATGTGCTCCGAGCAAGACACTGAAGATCGGGGTAAATCGAAGATCTAGAAAGATGCTTGGCGCGTCTCTTCATGGCTATAAAACATATATATATATATTTACATATGTATATATATATATATATATATATATATATATATATGTATATGTGCATATATATGTATG